AGTAGTACATGTTTCAAAGGAACAACAATGGTTTTGGTTATGTGTAATTAGTTCTCTGCGATGCGTTGTCAGGTTAAACCTGTTTATGAATCGCGTGAATGTAAATGGACTCCATCTGGTACAAACGTAAATGATAAAAAATAGACTCGGAGCACTTGCCAAATCTTGTCCTTCAGCGACTAGGATTACGCGGGAGAGCAGACTGTGATCAAATGACTGTTCAGTGCAGATAAAGCACATTTTTCTCCCCAAACAAGTAAGTTTGGAGCTGATATGGACCACGACGCCCCCTGCAGACCGCAAGCAGCATTTGCAGGATTTGACATTAAAAACCTGGAGAGGTTAATACAGCCTGAATAAAAAATCCCCGTTTGAATTTAAATCAACAATCACTTAAGAGCCAATGACCGAATCATTATTACAGCAACGTTATGCAACAATAACGTGAAATCAGCTGAGCACCTGGATCTACTGAATGGCCAGGTTATCCCATCAATGGATTTTTTTTTTCCTAGTGGCATGGGAACATTCCAGGACGATAGTGACAAGATTCATCCGGTCAAAAAGTGGTTCAGGGATCATGAGGAATTATTTTCACACTTGAATTGGCCACCACATAGTTTTGACCTTAATCCCACTGAATGTCTTTGAGATGTGTTGAAGAAAACTTTATGGTTCAATTCATCTATCCTCAATACAAGATCTTGATGAGAAATTAATGCAAATGCAAAAAAAATGTTGACAAATTGCATAAGCAGGTGGGAACAATGCATTGACAAAGCTAAAAGTGGTCCAATGAAATATTAAAGTGTGACTTTTTTTGGCCAGGTAGTGTATATTAACATTCACTGATTCTTGAGAAAACACAAAGAAATAGTGGTCTCCGATTGAGTTTTAACAGTACGTACAGTAATTAAGATAGTGGTAGCGATCATAAAATTAATTATATGATTAGCTCCTTCGAGCAGTGTCTGCAAATAACCTATATGGTTGGTGTCAAATATTATTTGAGTGTTGGTGTTTCTAAACACGTTGAGGATGTGGGTCATGGGCCTACAGTACTACGTGAAATGAGTCAGGTAAACATTGGCTGTGCAACGCCCATGTTTTTTCCATTAAAACGGTGATGATGTAATGCCAGGTTCTGTTTCACATTCTACCATAAGCTATTAATATCAGCTTCAGTACAAGTAAGACGAGTATTACAATGTAACGCGTCGCACAGTGTTTTAACCTTGTTTACCTCAGCTGTTCAGGTATCCCATAACCTATTTACATCAAAATGTTGACACATCAGAAGGATATTAAATGAACTTTCTCCATTCGAGGACTAAACACAGTAAATTTCACCAAGTGACTTCTGAGTGAATAATGTTACTTAATGAATCTGTGATAGTAGTCAGTGATGGAAAAAAAAAAAGAATTTTATTACAACGTGAAGGACGTGTTTAAACGAGTACTCATTAATACGTTTCTCAGACGTCATTGGTAATTATAGCATTTACCTCATCTGAAAATACAGCACATTTTCACTTTCAAGTAGTCTGCCATGAAAATAACACCAAATCAAACGTTTATACCTGCGTCACTTCTTCACACATATAAAACATATCAAATAAGTGGTTAAAGACCTGTTTGCTTGTTATCCAGTGTTTAAAAGTCCATCAGCCCTCAAATAACATCAGTCCATGTTAAGGCAAGGCTGACTTTAGGACGGGTTCCTTGTAATCATGATACGTAAACATGGGGATGTCTGAGATCTTCATTTCGGGCGAACCCAGATGTTCTAGTCAGCCAACAGTATCTCCTTCAGTTCCGTTCTGAAGCCTGGTATCCTTCAGCCCCCAGCCCCCCCCTACCCCCCGGCGCCCAGTTCTGTGTGGTCCCAGGGTCTCAAACGCCCCTTGACCAGCTGGGATTTCTGGGAGTTTCGCAGGGCCCGTGGCCGTTAGCTGCAGGTCCCGCTGAATGCTCTTTGTTGCTCTGCACACAGATGGCTTTGTGTGGCGTGGCGGCGGCGGTGGTGGGCGCGGGGCTCCGTGTCAGTTCTCTTTCACGTTGTTGTTGGAGTGGTGGGCCTGGTACGAGTGCCGCTTGGTGGCCCCCGCGACGAGGTGCCCGGAAATCACGACCAGAATGCTGATGATGTGAAAGTGAAAGTACATGGAGCTGTGGGGGGGTGGGGGGAGAGGCGTAAATCCAGTGTGCACCAGACAAACTTGTTCACTAGAAGACGTGCAAGCCCACCCAGGGGTGCGTTTCGCGTAGAGCATAGCATTAGCAACTTTAGCATAGCATTAGCGCATTAGCAACTAACATACTGTAGTTGGAACCATGCAACTTAATGGGTCCAACCATTTGAGTTGCTAAAGGGAGCTTTTTGGAAACACACCCCTGGTCTTGGGGAATCCTGGACATACCACGGCCAGAACAAGCTCTCCACCTACGTGACGTCACCATCACTTTGTCAGGATATAAAAAGTCACATTTCACCTGTGTGCTGCGCCTGCATCCAAATTATTTTAAGATTTTGATCACTTCAGTTGTTCGCCTGTCTGCACTAGGAGTACTGTATTTTATGTCTGTTTTTCTGAACTTTACGCACCTCATTGCTGTATGCAACAGAATTTCCTCCGGGGATCAATAAAGTTCAACTTATCTTATCGCACTGTGATCAAAATTAAACCCAAAACGGACAGCAACCCATCAGTCTACAGAGAGCACAGATGTCTCACAAAATAAATCCCTTCCCTCGTTCTGGCCATATCCCTGTTATGTAAACGTGATGGTTGTTGCATTAAATGCATGCAACTGAAATCAGAGCCTACCTGTAGAAGCGCATGGAGGGCTCAGTTGCCAGCAGCAGGAAGGGCATCACCGTGTAGCTGATGGCCAGTTGCGTTGCTGCCCAGGTCAGCACGTCGTAGCCAAGCTTCAGCGCCGCAGAGGACAGGAAGTGATGTCGGAAGTTCCTCCTCACCTGGTGTTCCAAAACGATCAGCGGGGAGATTATCATGCATACCTTTAATATACTTAGTGTGAGAGTGTCGCTAATGCAGACTGATTACGGCATGGGGATAGAGGTCGGCTTTCGTGAATCTTGAGTTGAACTTTGTTTCTTCCAGGGTAGAACGGCTGCACTCACGATCCGTGCTGCCTGGGTGATGGGTATGCCGGTGAGAAAGGTGAAGTAGTATCCAGGATAGACGCCATGCCAAACGGCCGACAACAGGAAGGTGAGCGCCATGCGGTTCCGTGGGGCCCGGTCGTAGCACACGCTGGGGCGCGAGACAACAACAAACCCCAGCTTACAATGGACCGAGCCGCGTGCACAAAATTTAAATTTAAAAACATAGTGTAGTTTACAGTTAAAGGCACAACAGCTGATTACATTTATTCACACAGACATTATGCAGTGTCACCAGGTGTGTCCAATGACTATTCACTAATGACTATTCACTAGAACTAATGTTAACATTTGAATGACTATTTGCATTAGCTGAGCCTAACAGATATAAGCATAAGCGTTGCCAAGGTAACGTGCACTCTAGGCATCGTGTGACTGTTTGAAGTTCGACCTCCTCCTGCATGCCGAGGGCGATGAACGGTGATTGGGACGTACCACTTCAACCAGACTCCTGTCTGAATGTTCCAGTTGTCGATAAACGTTTTGAAACTTGTTGCCATCTGGATGAATAGAGACCACTGTCACAAAATCCCCAGCGGTATAAAATCCATTAATTTTTTTCCATTTAATTTGCTTGTAACAGAGATCTCACCTCTATCCCCAAGATATTCAGGTTGGAAATGAGATCCCACGACTCCAGTCCATTTTTATCCACTCCTTTGAAGCCATAACCAGCAGCATTGTTGATGGCGTCAGCTTAGAAAGGGGGCGAGGAAATGTCATTTAAAACGCAGCCATGTGGCCACCTTCTACAGGACATCACTGATCATGTTCTGAAGACGCCCTCATGTTAAACACTGGAATGCATGAGTTCATGGACACAGAATATATAAGCCTGGGTGGAACAAATTGGTTCATTTGACAAGAATAAGTGTATAAGGACATATATTTGCAATCTATTCAAGTCCCAACAAGTACTCTGTTGGGCAACCCCTCAAGTGAGCTACTTATCCTGTATTATAGCGCTAAGGTATTCACCTGCAACGACTATTATTATTATTATTATTCTATAACTACTTATCTAGTACAGGGTCAGGGTGACCCTAGTGCCTCATCCAGGATGGACATTGAATAAGGGAAGAGACACCCTGGATGGGACCCCAGTCCACTGTAGGGGACACACTCGCTACAAGGTGTCAGCTAGCATGGTGCTACAGGACAGAACACTAGCAAGAGATCTGCCAGCGTTGCCCATTTTCACCCAATCTGATGAGGACCTTCAGACATAAACGTGGACCTGGAGCACGGAAAATGAATTCATGAAAGTTCATTCACGGTTACGTACATAAGGTCCATGCGAAGTAGAACTTTGGTCTAGCAGCTTGAACAGAGAAGAAGGCGTATGTCAGCCTTGACATAAAGGATGCTTCGCTGAGAAATTGGGGGTCAATGTTGTGGGCGATGGGGAGGGCTCTTGTGAGGGTCAGAAACAGGAATAAACAGACGAGACAGACCAGTAATTTATGAGTGACAGCCCTCTGGGGGAAAGAAAACAAACAAAACATTGCACCATTAACGGCTCCATTCATTCTCCATAAAAATGCAGCAGTTAGCATTGTGGTTTCCACTCGACTCTGCAGCTTCCGTTCAGCAGTTCGACTGAGTTAATCGGGCCTTGACCTACCATCGGGGACGGCTCCGGCCACGAGTCCTGACCACTCTGCTTGCCGTTGGCCAGCGACAGTCTTCCCCGGATGTGTCTTCCTTCGATGAACTCCACGTAGTCCTTATAGCTGCTGCAGGGCCCAACCAGGACGCTCAGGAAGTTGAGGTTGTAGCTGAGGTATTCCACCAGGCACGGCTTGGAGCTGCAGTGTGATTTCACACATTTGTTAGGGATATCCGGTCCAGGGCGAGTTTGTTGTTTTTTCACTCAAAAAGTCCCCACCCCCCTGAGTGTATTACTGCTCATGGCCAGCAGGGGGCACCTAAACCTTGGGGGGCCTCACAGAAACACATGGTTTCAGTAGTGGTAAACACCGTTGCTGTATGCTGGTGCCTCCTTCTGGGTACCAGCGCCTATTTCTGCTTACTGGCCTGGAAACTCCACCCCCTCAGCCCGTGTGACAATTTAATGGTGTTAATTACACCATTTAAAATTTTGCCTGTGATGAATGCGATCCGAAAATATCCCAGCCTGGTCGTGCTCCTGAAACACTGCCTTGTGATGTGTTAGAGCGGTACTCATACTGGGAGGGTGAGGAAACACTTGTAAATGCCTTTTTCTTCCCCTCGGATTTCAGAGATGCTTGAGCAAATGTTCTGCTTCCATAGCCAGCCTCCTCTAGTGCCTCACCCCCCCCCGTCAAGTCGCCTGGCAGCCTTCACTATGATTTATGCCTCCGCCTCCAGCCACAAAGGGGAGCACAGCCTCTCGTAGCTCCTGTAGAGGCAGCCCTAGAGGACATCGGGGCCTCTGATTTGCTGCTCCCCAGCTCAGGTAAATCACTCACCCCATAGCATTCGCTATTCTGCCCTACACTGCATAACATTTCTTTATATGGTTACATTCAAGCTCATTCTAGCTGACTTCAGAACATGAAATGTTTGTGTCTGTTTCAGTTCGTAAACAAGTAATTTAATATCTCTAATAATCTGAGCCGATGTTGGCTTGCCCTTACACCTTCAATGATCCCTGTATGGACCTTCTAGAATAAGCAGAATAATCTCTCCCATTTAATGGGGCAGGAATTCAATTTTTTCCCTCCCAAACCACTTAAAGGGTCGTTTCTTGTTTATTTTTCCCTTCTGGAAACTCGGCGGTGTAAACCACACACCTGAGAACTTCTGCTTCTGATGCACTGGAATCAACCACTAAATGAATGGACAACCAACAACCGAGAAAATGGCACACAACTGGTCCTGCACACCGGCAGAATACATTCTCCTATAAGTGCAAACATTTCCACCCAACAATAAGGGGCCCATCCAGTGTACAGACAGCTCTCCACGTACTTAAACCGACGTAAGTTAGTTTACGGAAGCACTAATACAAAAAGGTAACATACTCCTGTAAGTAAATTTACATGCATCTCAGCAGGCACCACTAGTATGTTTTTGGCTTATGTGTTGTTTGTTTTTTTGCTTTGAAGTGTCTTCAACGATATACAAAGGTAAAACCGACTTACACAAGGGTTTGTGTAACAGATTAATTATGTCAGTTCAGACCTGCCAGTGCCCCCCCCTACCCCCCCCAGGCAGAGTCAGGTGTTCATATGATTGGTTTATCCAAGTCAGACCAAAAGCCATGCTAAACCTATGTCTGTCTTCTTCTGTCTGCTTTGTTTGCAAATAACCAAGGCTGGGAGAACTTCATGCATCCAGAAAGTGTAGTATGGGGTGCATCAGCAGGTACATACGGCACAGCCAGACGCTTCTGCTCCGCCGTGAGCTCCCCAGGGTTTCCACACATCCCTATAAGAAGGTAGGAAGTAGGAGGACTTCAGTCTGCATGAATGAACCCCCAAGGTGACGTACAGCATGTGTAGAAGGTCTCTGCTCACCGTCATGCACCTGAAAGGCCAGCATGGTGATCTTCTGGGTCAGGATCATCAGGGGCCTGCAATCAGAGGTTCAGCCGTAACTGTGCCACAGAGCAGTGTTTCCCAGTCCGGGCCTCAGGACCCACAGACAGTCCACGTTTTTGCTCCCTCCCAGCTCCCGCCAGACAGTCCACGTTTTTGCTCCCTCCCAGCACCCTGCCAGACAGTCCACGTTTTTGCTCACTCCCAGCACCCTGCCAGACAGTCCACGTTTT